TCATAAATTTGCAGACAAGACTACATCAACCATTATATATGGACATATGTAATCAGATAGACATGGAATATTGGCACTCTTCGGATCGCGGCACACCGAGGACAATATAACATATGTCTAGAGGGTGTGGGTGAAGAGAAGACCTACACTGACACCGACACCGACACCGACACCGACATCCACACCCACTCACTCACCCCCAAAATTAAACTGTCTATTTATTCTGTAATTAACAATTACATTAAGAAATACAATCAATTAGATAAAAGCTAGTATTCTGTATTACAACATGAGGAAAACAAGAGCACAAGAAAACGAAAATTCAAAAAATAAATATCCCAACAAAAATATAGAATACAGCGGCAAGTACGGCAATATGGTGGCAGTGGAATGGATGAGGAATCATCATAGCATCGTCTCCCTATAGTACCGTCGCCCTGTCCTATCTGTAACACAGTCAAAAAGAAGAACAAAAGGGATAAAGAAAAGGATATATCGACATAAAATTTTGAATACTAATAGTGTGTGTAACAACAAGTTCTTAAGAAGGGAAAATCTGCACCGAAATATTAACAAATAGCTTTTTTAATTTCAATTTAACTTTATTTCACTATATTAATCACATTTATTTATTAACTTCTTTTATTATTTTCAATATAATACTATTATTGTTATCTTACTTAAATTTTCTATTAAATTAATTAAGCTATTTTTATTATTATTATTTATAAAACCAATACTACATGAGATTTAATTCAATATCTAGTTAATAAAGTAAACGTAGGAATCTATAATGATAAATTTTATTTTTATTTTATTTTGTGAAACTTTTCGATCTTGTACGATCATTATCAACCAGTTTAACAGAACTTTAGATGTTACAAAAACATAAATATCGAAAACAAATTGTGAAACAAGAAAGATGAACATCATAATTAATAACATCATAAACATAAACTTCTAAACTCTTATTATTGAATTAAAATTATCATCAATATACATTCAATGTAATAATAAATTTGTTTAGTGTAATAATAAGTCAATGTGATGACATTATAAAAATTAATAATATCATAATGAAAATTAAAAGCATAAGTGAAATCAATGATATGTTTAAAATAAGTAACATAACAATGTAACTAATAACAAAGTATCATCTATTGAGCTATTATCAGACATAAATGAGTTTATTCCGACTGCCTATATATTTACTTATAAACACTCATGTTTCTAATTCTACTTAATATGTAATAATTGTTTGTGAAAGAATTACATCTATAGTTCTATTAAACTGGTTGATAATGATCGTATAAGATCGAAAAATTTCACAAAATAAAATAAAAAGTAAAATTTATCATTCTAGATTTCTACATTTACTTTATTATTATTGATAATATGATTTATTTGTAAAACGCACTACCACATATAGGAATAAAATCTGTTACAATACGAAATTTCGATATGTACTTTAACAGTAATGCATTCTTCATCGCCAACGATTAATCTTGAACTTAATAGCCCAGTTTTTATGCAGGACGTATGCTTTTGTTTATCATGAATCGAAAAAACTCTTAAATGTCGAATATTCAATGTATGAAGCGATAAAATCTATTGAAAATTGATCAATTAATAATTAATTACAACCAGAATGACGAACAAGAAAAACTATTTAAAACATATAATGACTGTGTACATTTTCTAATACACCTACCAAATCTTTTACAAGACAAACATAGTAGATGTCTAAAACCGATTAGGCAGCTCTTCAATCTTATAAACGTCTATGATCATGTTTAGCAAACTACAATCATGTTTACATAGCTATAATGCTAGTCAAATAGCGCCAGATTTTCATAGTTGGCTACATAAAACAGTGCCATGAATGAAAATGATCCGATACTTAAATGTTAAGTAACCAACTACTATTCGAAACATTATCTGTTTCACAAATTATGTTCCATCCATTATATGTGTTTTCATTTTCCAATGTCATTAGATATCAAACCCAAACACAGAATAGGATCCATGATCGATTCAAGTAAACAAAAAAAACTAACCACTACTCCTTCATGACAGCAGAAAACAATATTCTACCAATAATTATAACAAATTATTTTATATTAAGAAGCTTTTCGTCAACACATTAGGTTAATATCACGAAATTCAATTTCATAATTGAAATAACCGTTGACATCGAACAAATATTCACTTCAAATTGAAACTTAATGTTTTCTTTGAAAAAACTAATTTCGTTGTCCTTAGCAATTTTCTAAAGTAGAGTAAAATTGCACCATTAATTATGATCAAATAATTTCATCTTTTGTCCAAACAGACCAAGCTGTATCATCGTTCGACATCAATCTATAATTTCTTCTTACTAGAAGTTGTGAACAATTAGATGGTTTTTGAAAGACATTTCAGAAAGAGAACAGCAGCATTTTAAAGAATATGCGAACTGTAGCTAGTTCGACTTTCTCTTTTCTATCTAAGACTATGGGTTTATTTTGTTGGCTGAATCATGAGAAATGCATTGTAAAACATATCAATTGTTACAATTGACATGTCAAATAAATGTTTCTTCTTTTTTCCTTGCTTTCTGCTCTGAAGTTTATCATTGAGAATGATGGAAAACTGAACTTTGTACATTGATGATAAATCGATTATTAAGTTCGAATATCAATATCAATTAATTCTATCCAATACCTTTTTTTTTTCTTTACCATAGTTATTACATATCCAAAGATAACACAGATTGTGACTTATGATTGAATCAAGTAAATAAAAACCAGTCAACCATGTTTGATGAGAAAAAAAAAAGATTCTGTCAAAATATAACAAAATACTTTTTTATATCAAAAAGCTTCTTGTGAATACATTAGGTGAGCATCACAAAACTCGATTAAAAAGTTTAAATCACCATCGATATCGGAGAAATATTGACTTCAAACTGAAGTTTAGTCGTTTCTTTGAAAAGCACTGATGCGGATCTGTTTATAATTTTTGTAGTGCAGAGTAAAATCGCACCATCAATTATTATCAAATCGTTTAATTTTTCCATGAAAGAAAAAGATTGCCATCGTACATGTTCAATCTATAATTTATTGGTACTAAAAGTTGGGGACAATTGAAATGTTTTCGGGAGAGAATGTACCGCGAGAGCAGAAGGATTTTTAGCAATATGCAAACTATATCCAGTTTGGTTTTCCATCTTCTCTCCAACAATACGAATTTATTTTGTATGTTGTAATACGAGAAACACATTGTAAAACATATAAACTATTACAGTTCCCATATAAAGCCAATGCTTTATTTTTGCTTGCTTTTTGTGCTGAAGTTTACTCCCGAGAAAGACGCAAAACTGAACTTTCTATGTTGATGATAAATCGATTATTATGTTCGAATATCAATATCAATGATTTCTATCCAATAGGTTTTTTTTTCTTTATCATAGTTATTACATATCCAGAGATAACACAGATTGCGACTTATGATTGAATCAAGTAATTAAAAACATGTGAACCATATTTGATCATATAAAGAAACATATTTAATCAAAACATGATAAATTACTGTTTTATGTTAAGAAGCTTCTGGTTGGCGCCTATCTCAATGTATGAAAGGGTAATTGAAGAATTGAATCAAGTGTTGATGTGGAGAAAATGTTTATTTAACAGTTAGCTTATGATATATTGCAAAAACCTAATTATATTTCTCGGATGAGTTTTATGTATGAAGCAATAGATGGGACTGATCAATAATCTGAGCATCGATATTTATTTTGGTTTAAATGAGATAACTGAACTCATTCAACGGACGTAAAATTTTTGGTGGTTTTTTGTGGAGGTTTAAGATAGACACAGTTGTTTGGGAATTGAAAATAGAAAATATTTGGAAGTGTGGTCTTAGAACTTCTAAGGTAGACGCGGTAGAGAAAAGACTTCTTTTGTATAGTTATTCTGTGTTGTGTGCATGTACTGAGTTAGAAACTTGAGGTACATCGATTTTTTGTGATGAGAGTGCAAATCATCGCTCGTATTTTTCGTGTACTGTTCTGATGGTAATCAGACCCAATGAGTGAGAGACGAAGGTCCCCTACTTATTGATAATCTAGTGTATGTTTCCCTCCTTGCATCGTCTGTTCTCATGGAGAGGGTTTTTTTTTATGAATCACTTCGAGGAATGATGGCGCGATTAAGCAATGGAAAGTTATTGGCTAAATGAGGTGGTATGTAGACTTTACTCTCAAAATATGACTCTCATTGGTTTGAAATCTAAATAGTATTGCGTCTTAACGATGTAGTCGCGCAACGTATAAATAGTGAAGACGATGCGTTAGTTGGTATGGTTCGTGAAAGGTAAGTTTTTACGCTGTTTGTGCAGATGATTATTGAGAACATTGAACTAGTTATTATAGAGCATAATTATCTGCATGGAAATGATTAGGCTGAATGCTTTTTTTGTGGTATTGTCAAATGAATCCTTGGATTTAATTTTCTTTGGACATCTTGGAAATGCTGTTCTGAATAATGATCACACATGAACGTTTGTTCGGTGTTGTTTAATGCTTGAATATGTGTTAATCGATTCGTTTTAGGTTGATATGTGTTATGAGTATCCATGAGTGTTGTCATAACCCAAGCCTAATCTCTAAATCAAAACTGAAGTATGTGGTCTCTTCATAGCTAAATGACCATTGTATGATGCACACTATTTAGTTGGTGAAATCTCCTGCAGTATAGTATGTTTTTTGGAACCCGTTTTTTGGTCACATTAATACTTATGTTGTTTCGCTGATGATGTATCACATGATTATCTCTATTTCATTTCAAAATCGAGATTTTTTTTATTACACTAACTTCGTCTGTTAAAGAAATTTTTACAAATTCATCTCTATTTTTTTCTTGTAGCATAGAAGAAGCAGAAAAGCAAGCTGCTAGCCGTGCTTGTTTGCATGCATTTGATTCATTTTTACGAACAAGTCTAACAAATTCTTATTCTAGATGTTCCTAAAAGCATTCCTGCCGCTTATTTTGGCATTTGAGCTTGTCGAAGTTCAAGCCGATTGTGTTTTACCTTCGTTCTTCGGTGTTCCCGTTGGAACTATCGTTGCGTTCGCCGGTAAAACACCTCCAAGCAGATGGTTATGGTGCGATGGGTCAGAAATACCGCGTGCGCAGTATAGCGCCCTGTTTGACGTTATTCAGAATTCCTTTGGCTCAGATATAAGCTCTACTAATTTCAAATTACCAGATTTGACAGCGAAGTTTCTTTTGGGCCAGAGCCTTATGCCTGGATCGAACTTTGCTACAGGTGGTAGTAGCACGATTACATTGACAGAAAATCAACTTCCATCACATAAACATGGGACCGGGACAATAACTATCGAAAGTTCCGGTTCACATATTCATAATGTTACTGATCCTGGTCATGACCATGGAGGATTTACAGGTTCGGCACCGGGGTCTACGGGAAATTCCGGCCAAGGTGGAAAATTGAATTCAGCACCTGCGGGCACTCACAACCACAATATTATTGCAGGCAAAACAGGAATAACAATCAACTCAGCCGGCGATCATTCGCATAGTGTTTCTGGTGATACAGCTTCAGTGGGTAACGGAGCGTCAATTAACATCATGCCACCTTACCAAACAGTCAATTATATTATATATGCTGGATGCGATTCTTGAAGTGGAACTCGTTAAGACAAGATCGGGAAAACGGAGGGTGTGACTGTGATTGTGGATTTGAGTGCTATTGCAGTCACGCTGCATTAACACATACTTTTTATCCAACTATTAGCCTCTATCTCTTTTAATCGTGTTTAGAATTTTTATTGATTTCTGTTTTTATTTTTCATATTTAAGATACACATATAACATTGTAGTTTAAGCTAGTTGGTACTAATCATTTTTTTTTCCAAATAAAAGTCATGTACACATATATCAAGACACATATAATTATACAAATTTGTAAAAAAAAAGAAAGAAAAACATAGGAAAGGTGAGACAACAGTAACAATTGGAGGCTTTGTAAAGAAAGAGCAAAAAAACCTAACAATATTACGAAGTAGCGCTCATTCTACGAACTCGCTGATCCTTTTCTGAAAGAACAACATATTTTTATGAATTAGAAAAAGCTCACCATTGTCTCGTAGATTGTGCAATACTGAGGATAATTACAAGATGAAATGGTTTATTCAGTCATGACTTATTCTATTAAGCAATGAATGAATATGTACGAAACGCAATGAACAAAAGAAAAAACAGAAATGGTGGAGGGTGTGGGTCTGGGTTTGGGTGGATGAATATGATTCCAGAAAGAACCCACACTCACTTCCACCCCACACACTCTCAAAATGAAGTTCTTCAATTTCAAGCAATAATTGTTTTTTTTTCTTATTAGAATTAGATTCATTTGCTCGATTATCAATAGAGCCTTTGGATTGTAATATAACTTGTTTATTTGATTTATCAGATACAATTTTACTTCGTATATGCCGTTATATGTCACCCGCTTATGTTTTATATTCATTTTATACACCAGAAATGTCTAACATGCATCTTCATCGTCTCATTGTTAATTATTATACAAAGATTAAACTTGATCAAATAACCTGTGATGAATATAGATATTTCATAAGCTTATTCTCTCGTCCAAATTATTCTCTTCGACCTGAATCATTGATATTGAGCAATGAACATGTACCTCGTGTAACTCAGTGATATTTTAATTATACGTATACAGATACAATTTAATCAATCTTTATTAATTTAAAACTCTTTAAATTAATCGACTGTTTCTCATTTAATCTTGATTAGGGTGGGGTGTGGGTGTTGGTGTTATTCTCAATGATATCCACACTCATACCCTTTGTTAAAAGTGATTCTGACAAAAAAATACAAATTTTGTTAATGTCGTTTTTCTCAAAATTTGAATTAGTTAAAATGAATTTCAAACAAAGAACTTTGTATATGACAGTTGATGATAGTTACAACTGATTATAGATAATGAGCCACATGTATAACTAAAATCTCAATCGAATAAGTTCACGAAAAAAAGAAAAGTGACCCTATGATATCGAAAATAATCGAAACTAAATCTCAAGTAAAACATGACACATAAATAGTAAAAAGGATTGATCATGATCTAAAAACTTGTTTTCCTTAAATATTGATATATAAAACAGCTTCGCATATTATGCACTAGATGAGTCTTGACTTATGTAAGATATCGTTTCTTAAGATGTCTATTTTATCATTGCAATCAATAGTTATGGTTCTATTCAAATGAAACTTGTTTTTGTCACTTATCGCCTACTAAGTTAGTTTATGTATCTTGTAGATCTACTTCAAGAGATAAGCTACTTTCAGATTTGATCATTAGAAAGTAACTTGTGACATTCCCCGATCAAGAATAAAACGATTGGTATTTATATCGTCGTATTTGTTGGGAAAAATCTATTGTAAAAAACAATTATATTTTAGTTACAAATATAGAATAGTCAATCAAACAAAACTTTTATTCAAAGGGTATTCTTTCACAATACATTGAACCTAACTAAAAATTGTATATTTCATTCGTTTTTAATCTCTGGAGCAAACACATCAATTCAATTTGTACTTTATTTCATATATATTATTTTTTTGGTTGTCTGATCTCGAATTATCACTTTTAT